GATTATACCCAGTCACACCAACCATGTCTAAAAGTCGCAAAAGAATCAGTGATAAAGCTAGGACGTCACCCGGAAGTGGCGCGCAGAACCCCCGCCCGAGTTCTGTGGTCAGTATGCGAGGGCTACCGAGGAGTGAACGGCCTCGGCCAAAGAAGCTAGTTCGAATTGGGACTCTGAACGTAGGATCGCTAACTGGGAAGTCCCGAGAAGTGGCTGATTTGATGACGCGCCAGGGAAGTTGAGAGAAGTGTCAAACTCGACTTCAATTGAGAAGACGCCAATCGGAAAATAAAGAAAACTACTTTTGTCCCCATCTTCAAACAGAAGCGACGCGATGGACTGCTCCAACTACCGCGGGATCAAGTTGACTGCGCATACCATGAAGCTGTACGAGCGACTGGTCGACTCGAAGCTGCGGGAGCTGGTCCCGATCTCCCAGGAACAGTTCGGGTTCATGCCTGAAAGTCAACAGCGTATGCCATTCATCGCCAAGCAAGTCATGGAGAATCAAAGGAGAGGTGTACCGGACAGTGGCAAGACCTAAAATCAGGAGAGGCTGCTTCACTCCGCCGAGATGAGGATGCTGAGATGGGCCTGCGGCTGGACGCGACTGGACAGGGTCAGAAACGAGGAGTCAGAGCGGTCATGCAGACTGCCCCTGTCCAGCTGAAGCGGAGCAGCGTCTGCGATGGTATGGGCATGTGCTAAGGAGGCCACAGGATCATCCGATAAGAACAGCGATGGACTTCGAAGTGCAAGGCAAGCGACCGCGAGGAGCCCAAAGAAGAGGTTCATAATCAGTAGATCTATTGTAAGTGAAGTCACAGCCACGGTAGAAGATAAGAAGACAGAGCATAGAGGTGACGACTGACAAAGGATGCGATCGCACGGGACTAACGTTACTGCAAACAAGCACACGTTCCCGATAAGCCAATATTCATAGCACCAAAGGCCCTCTTAGCTTAGCAGTTTGAGAATTCGAGGAGCTCAGCCCAAATAAAATCTCCTGCACGAAGTCAACCATACTTCTTGGAATCAACTATTATAACTATCAACTAATCATATGACTATCAACTATTCAATAATTAAAATCTCGCTGAATTTAGGTATATGGTGCGGAGCTTCTTTCAACTGCGCAGTGCTGGCATTGAATCGAGTGGTCGAAATGATCCCTCCTGCAAACTTTCTTCGCTTCTTGTTCCGAGGTGATCCGTTCGTTGATCAACGTTTTGTTACTTCTTTCATCAATTTTGTCGAACACCTCATGCATTATTGGAAGTGTTAAGTCGTCTATCCTCCATCACAGGGAAGTCCCTCGGCATTTGGATGGTGTTATCTGCATCATACACGGCTTTCATGCCGTTCATGACACGATCACATCCATTTAATTCTGTGATGGGTACCTACCTTCCTTCCCCAATGATCACCGACGATGCCATTAAGGTGAGGAAATTTAGAATCTGTTATGACTACACTATCCCTTACAAATTTGTATTATGCTTATGCTATAACATTTTTAGGAAACGGCATACTTCGCTACACTCTTGGTAACCATACACAATGTCACCACAGCATCAGTATTGATAAGTTTCTACTCGATTCTGTGTTTTTACGTCATCAGAACGCGTCGCTTCGCCAAAGGATCTCATTACAGAACTCAAGCGCAGGTACAAAAACAGTGCGAGGTGAACTTCTGTGCACCATCCGAACGTGATAGTCAATAAATTTACTCAAACAGTCAAAATCCGTTTCCTTTAGGCCGATGTCATAGTTTGCGAATCGAGCGATTCGCTAGCGAATCGCTAGATCCGAGCGTTGCGCCAGCGAATCGAACGTTGCACCAGCGAATCGAACTTTGCGCCAGCGAGTCGAACGATGTACCAGCGAGTCGAACTAGGTACCAGCGACTCAATAGTGGCGGGACCCAACGTTTAAAGGAAGCCCGCCACTTTCAAACAGTGTCACGTGACAGTGGACGCTGTTTGAAGTGTGCCGGGGCTCGCATGAACGTTTGAAAGTGGACATTCCTTAACGTGATCCCACTTATTGAGTCGCTGGTACCTAGTTCGACTCGCTGGTACATCGTTCGACTCGCTGGCGCAAAGTTCGATTCGCTGGTGCAACGTTCGATTCGCTGGCGCAACGCTCGGATCGAGCGATTCGCTAGCGAATCGCTCGATTCGCAAACTATGACATCGGCCTAGCTATTGGTTCGCCTTACTGAGTCATTATAATATTCCTGAAATCCTGCAAAAATATGGTGTGGCATTGCTGGATAGATCGGCCAACGTAATAACTTCGTATAGCATACATTACTGAAGCTATACGAAGGTCTTTCAGGGCGTGACAAGCTTTTTGAAAACGGTCTTTTGCATGATATAGGGGCAGATGCGGGAACCACAGAACCATGTTCAATTTTTCCTGAACGGCCCTCTGAATACCAGAAAAGGGGGTCCCTAGTTCGATTCCTCGTGGTGACAAATTTTTGCATTTCGAGTTGACGTGCCAAAATTCGCGCAAAATGGAGTTAGAACCAACCAGAACAATCAGAACTCCATTTTGCGCGAATTTTGGAACGTCAACTCGAAATGCAAAAATTTGTCACCACGAGGAATCGAACTAGGGACCCCCTTTTCTGGTATTCAGAGGGCCGTTCAGGAAAAATTAAACATGGTTCTGTGGTTCCCGCATGTGCCCCTATATCATGCAAAAGACCGTTTTCAAAAAGCTTGTCACGCCCTGAAAGACCTTCCTGGTTAGACCCGAGCCATGTACTCCTCTCATTGGCTAGAGCGTGCGAGATGCGAATGATTTCAAAAGACGACTAAAATTGCCGAGGAACTAAGGGATAACTGAAAAGCCTAGAAGTTATGCTCGTTTTCTCCGTTTTCTCAATTCAATGACTTTCCATGAACTGTTATTCACAAGATAGCTATTCACTCAAGCCTGTAGTTTGCTCTGCTTTGGTGATCTATTTTGCTTTACTTGACACTCGATAATACTTTCTTTTTCAGTTGTTCGTCCAAGTGGCGTTAATCTGCTTCACAATCGCTATCACAGCCTTCCTTTACGTCTTGAGCGGATTCTTCTCATTTCCACAAGGCTTCACTATTGCAAACAACATTTTGTGGCAGTTAAGCCACGGTAACTCTTTGCACCTTAACAACTTCGGGGACAAAATCGAGTTTGTTCTCACTAGGGATCGTTGGGTCACCCTACTTGCAAATTTTTACCCCCTACTTTTCGAATCACTTTCAGATTAAACCACTCAGTTGCGAAGTGGTTCTAATGAAATTGTAAATGCAAATGTTCCAAAAAAAGTGTTGCTCATTGGAACTGAATGTAATGGTGGTAGCCTGTGCAGTGGTCCAAAAAACTCAATGAACAATATAATAGTTCAAAACTTGCGAAAGGGGGGCCGATCTAATCCCCTTTGATTTCCCCTTTCAAGAAGCCGAAGATCAAACCGTAATTGTTTGCTTCTATATAATATCTAAGAAAACTTAAACTTGCGGTCGCCTTCCATGAAATGCCCTCTCAAAATGATGGCGAAGCAGGACGACAGCAGCATAAGCACTCATCCTGTGAGAGCAGCTCGCGCGCCAACGTTTGCAAGCCGAGCACACTATTTTCACGCTCCGGGGCAAATCTGCCATAGAGAACATTTCAAGGCTTCTCTCCCAATAAACTGATAAAACTAAAAGGGGGAACGCAAGATGGTACAATTTCGAAAACTAAACAGAAGAACTTCAGAAAATCATGAAGAACGAGTAACTCATTTCTCGCTTGTTTAATTTGGGATAAACCAGTTCGGAGCATATGAATGTGGAGTAGATGTAGGAAAAGCCTGCGGTGGGTCGACCGTGATAAAACGGCTTCCAGTGGATGCTCCGGCATTTCAAGAACGCGCATGCGATGAGAGCGCCCTGCAAAGTGGCTAGCAGTGGTGCGAAATTGCCAGAGTGCCTGCGCAATTGGGTGACCTGCTTCTCTGATCGCCTGCTAATTGCGAACTGCCGGGTGTGACACTGGAGTTGGAGCCGATCGTCTGAAGAACCAAGAAACAAGCCTCGAGAATTTGAGTGATTATCAGACAATCAATGTTAGGAACTTCTATGCGAAGGAGCCGGATGAATGGGTCTGCGAGTGTGCGCGTGTTAGCTGTTAAATGGAAGTGAAACCATACTACCTAAGCCATCGAGACTGCAAAAACATCGATTGGATGAAAGGATAAAGGATGAAGGATGAAGCATTTGAGGTTGTTCCATCTCTTTTTGTGATGCGGCACGCATTTGAATGCGATGTGGCCTATACAATGACTTGCGGGGGCCAGCCGATGTTCAAGTCAGTGTTTTTATCCTCCCAGACAAGTCTGGTACCAATTAACCGACCCCGGAGGGATGGAAGGCTTGGTTGGCCCGGGCGACGCACGACCCAGGATTCGATTCCTGGACCGCGTAGGAATAGATTCGTAAAATAACCGTACATACAAGGTGACCGAAAAAGAGACACTTTGGTTATGACTCATAAAGGCAAGCTTTAACTCTAGAACTAATTCGGCAAAATACTTCTCACATATCACTCCATACGCTGGTGCAGCCCCCTGGAGGCCTTCCATGAATGCTCCGGCCTGTAGCAGCCACACAGTCGGTTAGCTGATGGTCTAGTGACAGTAGCTCTGATATGCAAGACCCCTTCATGATCTCTCAAGGACAATGTTGAGCTCGGACCGTGCACAACGTCTCCATGACAAATTCCTCTGATGTCGTTGGTGTGGAAGGCTATTGTGACGCCTGCTGACAGAATGGGATGTGCTGGATTCATTCGGTTTGGATTCAGCAAGGTGTGGATAGTGCCGTATTGAACGTGGACTAAAGTGGTTCTTTTTCAATTACTCCTGTATTAGGTTGTTGTAATTTAGATATCGCACAAATTCACTTTCAACACACTGAGAAGCTTTTGACTATTCAGAGGTACTTGGTATTCATTCGGAAGAGGACATTTGACGGTATAGGAATGATCACTCTTTGACCACATTATTTTGTTTCTCTACTTGAATCTTTTCTCTGAGCGATGACCAACTGGAAACTGTGGATGTGCACGTGGATGTCTTACACATCTTAAGAAGCTGAGCCATGCTTAAGTGGTCACGACAGGCCACTGTCGCAAACAAAAAGGCCCCTTACAAAGTTGTGCAGTGGTTTGGCAGACAATAAAACGATCATAGACTCGGCCAGTTACACATTGACGACAACATGGGGACATATATCCCGCGCATTGCAGGCCATGTCGGACCGTGCGGGATATACAGGGGTGGCCAAAAAAAGAGACACTTCACTCCACATTTCAGACAGCATTAATCACACTTTGCTAGAATCAAATCGACTGCCCCCAACTCAGTATTGAAGAGCACATTCTAATCTATCTAAAGTTACATGACAGCCTTCTACACCGACGACATCAGAAGATTTTCCCACGGAAACATGGTTCACGGTACGAGCTCAACGAGGTCGTCGAGGTACCATAGACCATTACGACGTCCCTGAAACGCTGGTCAAAAGCGGTTTTGCATAGTCACAGCTAATGTCTCTGGGAAGCTATTCAACAGTTAATCCATTGAAGAAATTATAGCTTCAGGCCTGAGCGATTACGGTAAGTTTCGTTGAGGTGGAAGTAGAATGCGTGCCACATCCCAAAAAGGGATTGAGCAACGGCAAATGCTTTGTCCTTTATCCTTTGATTAATACTATTTGGAATATGGAGGGAAGTGATTTTTTCCTCTCTCTCCCCTCTCCCCTGTGTATTTTTTGTGGGTGTACCCTTCACACTTACAATATTTCATATAACTGTTGTGACCGTGTGAACTTACCCAGTATAAAATGGTGAAGATGATCAAAAGTGCAAAGAGCAAGACGAAGAATGTGCTCCCAACCTCCACGAAGAGCCCTGTCGGGTTACCTATCCGAAATGGATGAATAGCTTGTTGGCCTGATAACGATTAGACACGGTATAAGTTCCCAGGCCACAGGAGATTGCGCCACATTGCCGCCCTATTCATATGTATTGTGATGATTTATACCGATAATAGAAGAAACACAGTGAAGGTTCCAATAAGAGAGAGAAATTATGGTAAAACCGTTAAAACGGTAGGCTGTGATGTGACTGATGTGCTTCCAGGTAAGCAGTGCCGCTGCAAGAGTATTTTGTTGCAGCAGGTTACCATTCTCAGTTAATGGTATCAGGTTGAAACCATCCTTTTTCAATTGAAATCTATTTTTCAGGTCTTCATGGCATCATCTACTTTTGCTTCAATCGAAGAATACGTACTGAAGTGCTGAGGATGTGTGGTAGAAACAAAACACAATCTGCGGCCGTGATCACAACTGCAATCGTGGATTCACGGCCGCTTGGAACAACGAATAGATATGCTAATAAATAATTTCGGTTTACTTAAACTAGTTGGCGGAAACAATGTTCATAAGTAAGGCATCCCACTGGTCTTGGACGGTTTCTGTTGAAAATGAGTACTGCAGAAATTAAGGCATAACGAGGCACTTTGCTGTAATATTGCTCTTCTTGTACCTACAGATGATTCTTCGAGCAAAATCTATATTCACCAATTTGTTCTGCACACCAAGCATGTGCTCAGGGATCCAGCGTCATTTGCACAACTACTGAGATCTCAACTCTAGCTCTGCCCCACTGAAGAAGACTTCAGTAGCCCTTCCTTCACTGGTCTCTTTTCGCTATTTTCGGTCCACAAGCAGTTTCTATACCATTGCTGAAATCTAGATTTTGGCTCCACCGCTTTGGTGTACGATGTACACATAACAGTTGGCTAACAGCTTCCTTCTGAGCGGGAGCTACCTATGTAGCTAATATAGAATCTAGGACGCAATGAGGTCGTTCGCTCACATTGAACAACTGTTTTTGAGCAGTCCCTTGGCATGGTGCACAGTTCTTTAAATCAATGCCTGCAATTTTCTCGCTCAGAAATAGAGCGCTGATCTATTTTAATGTGGAAAAGACCGGGAAGATTTTTGAAAAGCTTACACCTCCATTACTCTTTCTCCAACTTTCCTATCGTTGCTCCCTAATAGACAGTTCTCGATGATAGCGGCGCTGAAAAGAAGTAAGGCGTGATTGTATCTATTGATAGTTTATCGCTCGTGTTTTAATGAATGAAAAAACTGCATATTCTGGTGCATTCCTGCCTCAGCTATGCAACTGCAAGTACTTGACTGCCAATTTGCAATGGTTGCAGCCGTTTGACCGGTTCTGGTAGAGCAGCAGGTGCTTCATGAGCCGCACACGGGAAACTGATAAACACACTAACAAACTGATATGCCATTTTGCGCTCACCGATAGGCCGTGGAAGAGCTCTAATGCATCTACTACGGACATCAAATATTTCGACCCTTTTCTCCAATCGATAGAACCGAAGTTAACGTAGTGGTTGGGGAGCATCTGCCACCAGCAAACTCCTCTACACTCTAGTTTTGAACTAGTGGTTAGCATAAGGGATATCACAAATGTTTCGAATGCATCGACCCGCAAAGCTGGGATAGTGCTAATGGTAACTTATAGTTGCACTGAATTGTAGCTGGACCAATAAACTTCCTCTCAAGCCAAAAAGTACCGGTTCGGATGGTCTGAGCTCATAACTCACCTCCATAGCTACCTTTGCCGCATAGAGAATACAACGCATTGGAATCATATAAGGACTTGGATTGGAAGAGAAACTCCGTCTGGATTGTTCGAAATCCAAAAAAAATTGATTCAGAAAATGAGTAGAAAATCTTCAAAAAAAAAAGCTCAATCTGGAAAGGAAGTGAGACATATGAGATGACTAACCGAAGACTGTGCATGAGAAACTACCAAATATAGATTTTTCCTCCGAATAGCATTAGACTCACAACTCATGTCATTGTTTTCTTATTATGTTTAGAGCTGGTTGGCGCATACGAATTCAAACTCGATATTTCCAAATACTTTCAAACATATAGCCACATGCACTTGGATACAACAGTACTGGCGTAGCTTCGGAAGCGTTTTGTCTAACAGTTATATAGTTTATTCGGATTCCTTTTCAGTAATGTCACGTGAAGTATTGAGGATGGAGTCATCGAGGCAGGTGATCGCCTCAGATTTATTACGATTATGATTATCATACTCTTCAACAACGCCATCTCCAGATAAAATGTCCAACGATGTACCATGAGATGAGGAGCGTGATCTCTCCCTGTTCCCTAGTTTCTGTTTTGGCTAGTCAAGCCTTCAGAATACTCCATTCTTCAAGTACTGGATAGAATTTTCTTTCATGGTGCGAAAATTGGTGCGCATAAAAGCCAGGGAAAATGCAGCAAGTTCAGTGGCAAGCTTTCCGAGTTAACCAACTTGCTTCCGCAATGCAATTTTTTCGAGATTCTAGTTCTTTCGGGAGCTTTCACAGCAGTGAATTTATTAGGTTGTCGGGGAGAAGTCTTTTGCGCATTTGGAAGTTTTTTTTTTCAATTGTTGACATATACCACTATAATCGTCGAAACATTGCTCTTCAGCAGGCAACTTCAGGTTGCCGGCCGTTCAGAAATCCCGAGTCTTTGGGGCGAAAAGCTCAAAGAGGTTGACTCCGAGTAGGTCCGGATCATCGAACTGCCCTATTTCAGTACCTTCGACGGCAACAGAGGCGTATGGTAGCCTGTCTCTACCAGGTTTGCTGTACACACTAAGTGGGTCAGATCATTCTATAACGAGCTTGGAGACCTTTCCTGAACCTTCTTCGTAATTCGTGGGCGAGCGTTGCCGACATAAAGTAAAGTTTCTCCGATTTTCCGGGCACCATGCCGGGAAACCAATCCACTTGCTAACATTATTGTTCACCAATAGCAGTGGACTTCGTTGGCAGCAGCTCTCCGTGAGCGAAACATTTGCAGCCTCATGAGCTTTCAATGTTGCCTCCCAAGTTGCAGTTCTCAAATCGGCGTTGCAATCCTTTGTTCTACGCATCCGAGCCAGTCGTGCTTTCGCGTGCGGTTTATCTGAGGATCCCACTTCTTGACACCACCAACAAAGTTGGCGGATCAAGCGATAGACGGGCGGCAAATCAAAATGTTCTTGCAAAATTTAATGGTCTCAATAGCCTGTGGTCAGTCAGATCTCAAAATATCCTTTCGCCATAATTTCACTTCTTTTAGAGGCGATATTGAGGAACGGCCATTGTGGTCTGGTAGCACTGAAAGAGCTCCGCCAATTACCGTGCATTGCACTAAGCACTCTCTCCAATCGAATTCAGAATACACTCGTCAATGAGGATGGCAGGCCGACCAGATTTGTGGTTTTTTTTCTCAAGTATCTGGAACTCGGCAACCAAATAATTGGCATATTGTGAAAGATAGTTCGGAGGTCCATCACTAGAACTCCTACTGCTTCGCTTCAATCGACGCATTTTGTGGGCTTATAATCGAACATACCACCAGTGAAATATTGGGTTGATGCATATTTATTGCGGCTTTTTTCATCAACTTTTATCCCAGCAAAACGATAAAATGTAAAAGAAAAACGCGTTTATTCCGGAGCGTAGACACAATCCTTCAAGAACGCTTCCCATTTGCTTGGCAGTAGGTCGATTCCACGGGTGGAAAAGTCACGATTCTTGGAGACGATCCACGCTCTAACATCGGCCACCAAGTCATCCAGCTCGTCGTAAATTTTGTTCGTTTGCCAGTTTTTCAACGACTGATTGAAGTGGTAGTCTGTAGGAGCTTCGGTCGGTAATGTGGCGTTTTGAACCTCTTGAACCATCTTTCAACTTGGCTTTTGCTAATTGTTCCCTCGCCGAAAAGTTCGTTGAGATCGCAAAATGACTCTGCCGCCTTCCAACCTTTCTCGAAGTGGTAGAGCATATGTGGCGAATATGAAGATGATTTTCGATAAGCATTTCTGTTAATGAAAGAGAGAAGAATATTTTCATGAAAAAATAATAAACAAAACGCCAATCTTTCGAAAAAAAGAAGGCGCGAAAAAAAATCCGCAATAATTATGCATCAACCCAATACGATTTTTAAGCTTCAAACGCTGCGAAATGCTACGACAGAAATGCTGTGGAGAGAGCATTAACCACCGCTCACATGCGTTTAACAGTGAATGTTTCAAAACGATCCCAAAAGATTTTGCAAGGTGAAAAAGAAAATGCGCAAGAACTTTTCCGACAACCTAATACATTGCTGGATCGACATATCCTTCTATTATATAAAGCGCTAACTTTGTGTGTCGGTTTGTGTATCTGTATGTATGTATGTATGTGTGTATGTATGTATGTGTGTCCGTCCGCAAAATGAAGTGAGTGAGAAGGAAGCTCATGGGATAAACAAACCGCTAACAAATCGGGTAGCTCACAGGACTTGAGGTATCAATGTTGTGAATATTATATAAGGTCAAAAAACATCATGCTGCTGCCATTACATCCAACTGCTCGTCCTGCCTAAAAGTGATGTTTTGAGTGATGAAATGGCTGAAGTCCGCTGAAGTCTTGTATGTTGCAGACGGTCAATAAGAATCCTTCAAGCCGTTTATCAATATCTAAACTACTACACAAGCAGAAGCAGCAACGGATTCCTTCCGCTGTACAGGGACAACACAGGCAGAAGAAAATGCTGAAAATTGCAGGGTGGAGATATTCGTCATGAATGACTTCAGTTGCCACCGGTTGTACCAAGTTCCATCCACTGTTTTACCGTCTGACAGCTTGCGTTAGTCGTTTCTCGATCCAGCTGGTAAATCTTCGATATTTCGTTGTCTGATAAGTCCCAACTTTGGTTTCCGGGAACAGCTACAACTTGACAAACAGACACCTAAAGGTGAACTTAAGCAGAAAAGAATGTAAATTTATAAGATGGAAAATAGAGATAAGAAAAACCAAAAGTTGAAATAAAAAAAAAGCGAATAAATAATACTAAATAAATAAAACACATAAAGAAATTAAAAAAAAAAAAATTTTAAACAATAAAAATATAAATAATGAAAAAATAAAGCGACATAATTTCAGTAGACGCCCAACAGTGTAAAAAATTAGAAAATTGCCGTCAACATGCGACCACAAGTCACCGATTAACAGTCGCCCCACAAAGAGGTGTCACAGATGGCCCACGTCAACCATTTTTGCTCGTGCGCTTTATCCCATATATCAACACGCCTTAATATTTAAAAAAAAGTTTATTACCTACTTCTACATTGCAAGTGTACCGCTTAATCTCCGCGACAGTTTTTGGGACCTGTGTCGTGAGGACACCCGCCCTAAACCTACGAAAAACAACGCTTAGCGAGTTTGTGGACGAGTATTCCGCCGCGCCATTCGAATTTTGAGCTGACTCTGTCCAGTTCATTGATCTACTGTTCAGTATTCCTTGTTGAGTCCAATTTGTACTGAATTTATTGTAGTCC